CACACTCACAAGCAGATCTGGAAAATTTCTCATCCGTTTTCAAGAATGAAGTGCTTACACCTTGCCTACCCCTTGCCATTTCAAAAAGTGCTTATTCAAAGCGTTTTGGGGGAAATTTAGCTAAAAAAGGACCACTCTCTCGACATCCGCTTGTGAGAAGAAACATAATCATTTGTTGTTTTCCTACCCTGTGTCTTTGCAAAAAACGGACCGAAAGCTCTTTTTTTTTTTGTCTCTTGTACAAGGCTTATGGAGTGACGGATGGGCAGAGCATGCGCAGAACGGGTTGCAGAGGGGCTGTGAAACAGCTTGCAGGAGCAGGGTGCATGATCTGGTTGCAGAGGAGGGCGCAAAGTCAGTTGCAGAGGAAGGGCGCAGAGTCGGTTGTAGCAAGCAGGGGGCGCAGAGGTGCAGGATTGGGTGCAACAAGCAGGGGGCATAGAGGGGTGCAGAATCGGGCTGCAACAAGCAAGGGGTGCAGGATCGGTGCAGAGCAGGGGTGCGCAGAATTGCGGGATCAGTGCAGCAAGTAGGGGGGGAAGACTTTCTATTTTCCCCCTTTTTTTTTCGATGCAACAAGCAGGGGTTGCAGAGGGGTGCAGGATCGGGCTGCAACAAGCAAGGGGTGTAGGATCGGTGCAGAGCAGGGGTGCTCAAATGTGCGGGATCGGTGCAACAAGCATGGGGGGAAGACTTTCTGTTTTCCCTTTGTTTTTTTTTAATTAGGGTTCGGGTTTTTTTTTTTTTTCATGTTCACGTAGCATTCACATGTCAAAAGTAATTGACATGTGAACATAATTTTTTTTTCAATTGCGTTATAGTTGGTTGGAGTGTTAGGGACATTAATGGTGTTTGTAAGAGATTTGACGGATGTTAGTTTTCCGTCCAATTAGGAATTTATTTGAGAATTTCATGGAGTTTAAAACCTTAATTGAGTACAATTGAAATTCAGATCTAAAATTATGAATTTTGTGTAAGTTTGAGTCCTTATGCCATATTTTGCCTTTAAAATTTATTTCTCCTCTCTAAACTTAAAAAAAAAGTTTTTTTGATTACAGAAACTCCAAAACCGCCCCTTGTTTGGAAAAACCAGGGGCGTTGCTGCCCACAATTTTACTCTAGGGCAGTTCTGTTAATTATAAATAGAGG